GAGTAAGCAGGCAGAGAGAGTTGAAGTCTTAGCGAAGCTGGCTGGGGAATTCTGGGAATCGGAGTCCTCCAGTCTCAAAGCTGGAGACCCCTGTTCCTAGTCCAAGCAGGAAACTTATATAGAGGGAGGGGAGGGGGTGTCTCCAGCCTTGCCAGCTTTTTTTAAGATTTCTGGACGTCACCTCCCAGAATTCAGAGAGTTGAGAAATCCACAAATGTTTATAAAAAGGATGAATCTCGGATGGAGGCGTTTTCAGGAAGCAAAAAAGGGCTGGCTGGGGAGGTGGGGGTGTTTAAGGGGCTTTTGGCTAAAGCAGGCAAGAAGCTTGAGCTCTCCTTTCCCCCCTCTCCCCCCCAAACACTTAGGTGGTCCTCTTGTCTGCCACCATGCCGATGGATGTGCTGGAAGTAACCAAGAAATTCATGAGAGACCCCATCCGTATCCTAGTGAAGAAAGAAGAGCTGACTTTGGAGGGGATCCGGCAATTCTATATTAACGTGGAGAGGGAGGTGAGTAGTGCGCAAGGAGGGTTTTGTGGAGGGAGGGGGGCTTCACACTGTGGTTATTTCAGGAGCTTCTGACTGGCCTCTCACACACACACTGGTGCACAAAAGCCCCTTGAGCCACCCTTCTTCCCCTGGCTGCAAAAAAAAAAACCCACCCCTTTTTTTAAATGATTATTATTATTTCAACAGCTGGGAATTCTAGGCCTTCCCAGGCCGTAATAAGTCCCAAACAGTTTAGGAATAGCCTGTGCCAAAATCTTTTGGGAGAAGGCTGATCGGTACCCACCTTTATCTCCCTCGAAATGTTGCCGATGACTATAAAGGGCCCCATTCGCTGGACGAGGCCAAACGGAGCGCAGAGTCCACATGGAGGGAGCTTCAAGCGTTTCAAACCGACCGGGAGCAAGCAGAAGTGGCTTCCTGCAAAGGCTCCTGTCCCTTTGCTCCTCCTTTTATGTCTTGGGGGGGCAATCCTCTCCCAGCCTGACTTCCGCAGTCACCCCTTTTGTGTTAACCGTTCTTGCCTTCTGGCAGCTCTGCATGCGCGCCCTGGGAACAGGCTCTCGCTGTTCCTTTTCCTCGCTGCTCTCAGATTCTAGAGGCTCTCTTTGACATTTGTTTTCTTGCAGATGTCTTGTGATCCAAACTAGGGAACATCCTCAGTGCCACTCCACTGAGGATGTTCCCTAGTTGGGCCATGAGACGCCTGCCAGAAACACGCCCCCCCACCCCCCCCCCCCCAAAAAAAAAGCTCTGAGAGCACCAAGGACCCCATCCCCTTCATTCTCCCCCCTCCTCCTCTTCCCAATCCTTCCCTTCTAGCACTGAGGATGCTCCGTAGCCAGGTCACGAGATGCCTGCAAGGCAGCCCAGCCCTTAAGGACCAACCCCCACAAGTTGAACACCACCGCCCCCTGAGCTGCCAAAACTCTTAATTCCCTCCCTTAATTCTCTCACCACCACCGCCTCCTCTTCCTCTTGCAAGGAGTGGAAGCTGGACACCCTCTGCGATCTCTACGAGACCTTGACCATCACCCAGGCGGTTATCTTCATCAACACCCGGAGGAAGGTGGACTGGCTGACGGAGAAGATGCACGCCCGAGATTTCACCGTTTCAGCCATGGTGGGTGTGGGGGAGGGCCTGTCTTTGGTGGCTGGGGTGGGATGGGGTGGGATGGAGTGGGGAGAGAGGGAGGGGGAGAGAGAGAGAGAGATAGAAAAAAAGAGAGAGAAATGGAAAGCAAGAAAAAAAATAGAGAAAAAGATAATAAAGAAAGAGAAAGAAATAGAAGGAAAAAGAAATAGAAAGAAAAAGAAAGAAATAGAGAGATGGAAAGAAAGAAAAAAGGGAAAGAGAAAGAAAGAAATAGGGAAAGAGAAAAAATAGAAAAATAGAAAGAAATAAGAGAAAAATAGAAATAGAGAAAGAAAAAGAGATAGAAAAATAGAAAGAAATAGAGAAAGAAAAATAGAAGGGGGGGGGCAGACTGGCTCCCCTTCGAACTTACGAGAAATGGGCACTTCAAAAGGAATTCTGGATGGAAAAAGGAAGACAGCCAGGCAATGTTCAAAGCAGGATCTGATACCCTTCCAGGCAGAATCCCTCCCCTTAGTCCCATGTGCATTTTGTCAAATACAAAGAAGCAACTGGTTAATTCTCCCCCCCCCCCCCCTTTTATATATTTATTTTCTGGGAACGTAGTTGAGAAAAGTTTCCCAGGAAGTTTCTTTCAGAGCTGGGATTTTTTTTTAATGTTTTCTCCCCCCTCCCTTCTCCTCTTGCTATCTCTCTCCAAGAGGGAGTGGGGACAGGTTTCCAGGCCCCCAGTTGTATACCGTGTGCAAGTTCGACAGATTTCAAGGCAAGATATTCAGGGGGCATCAAAAAGGGTTGCTTGTACCAACTCACTCCTTTCTTCTTCCATTGAAGAATGGCGGATACACGGATCTGTCAGAGAGAGAGCTAGAGAGACCCAGGTTCTCCTTGCATGAATTAGGGAAGGAAAGACCCTTGTTAACAGACCTGGTTAGCTTAGCAATAGCCATAGCCCTTAGACTTAATATACCACTTTATAGTGCTTCCCAGCCCTCTCTAAGAGGTTTACAGACAGCCTCTTGCCCCCCCAACAATCTGCCTCCTCATTTGACCCACCTCGGAAGGAAGGAGGGAAGGCTGAGTCCACCTTGAAGCTGGTTAGGTTCAGATTCCTGGGTGTGGGCAGAATTAACCTACAATACTGCATTCTAACCACCATGCCACTACAGATGCCTTTCTTCTCTTCCTTCCTTTCCTTCTTTCCTTCCATCCCTTCCTTCCTTCCTTCCCTTGCTTTCCTTCCTTCCCTCCCTTCTTCCTCCCTTTCCTTCCTTCCTAAGCAATAGCCCTTAGGCTTCTATCCTGCTTCTCAGCCCTCTCGAAGCGGTTTACAGAGTCAGCCTCTGCCTTCCCTCCTCCCCCCCCCCCCCCCCACACACAAAACAATCTGGGTCTTGGAAGGAGGGAAGGCCGAGTCCACCTTGAGCCTGGTGGGATTCGAACTACCAAATTGCAGGGCAGCTGGCAGTCAGCAGAAGTAGGAGCCCTGCAGTCCTGCGCTCTGACCGCTGCACCCCCAAGGCTCATCCTGGTCGGTGGGAAGGGAAGGGAAGGGAAGGGAGCTAACTTCCTTTTGGGGTCTCTTTGCCTGCCCACCAGCACGGGGACATGGACCAGAAGGAGCGTGATGTCATCATGCGAGAGTTCCGCTCCGGATCCAGCCGAGTCCTCATCACCACCGACTTGCTGGCAAGTGCCAGGAGGAGGAGGGGGTTTGCCCTCCCCTCCCTCCTTCCTTCCTTCCTTCCCCAGGGAGATTCCCTCTCTGCCTGGCCTGCGGTGCCAATGGCGGATTGTAGCTCCTGGGCAGAAGAACGGATGACCGGAGCTGCTTTGATTCCACGGCCGGCATCCCCAATGAGGTGTCCGGTCACTTTGTAGCAGTGCACAGTGGTTCTTTCTCTGGGGCATGGCGACGGTCGTAACTAGGACCCCCCTGGATTTTGCTAATTTTTTGGGTGGGTGGGGGGCTGGCAAAGGCCCTTCTTGGCTCCTGTTGCTGAAAGCGGCTGCCTCAATTCCCCTGCAGGCCCGAGGCATCGACGTCCAGCAAGTCTCCCTGGTCATCAACTACGACCTCCCCACCAACCGCGAGAACTACATCCACCGGTCAGTGAGGGCTCCTCAAAGGGCGGGGGGGGGGGGGGGGGGGGGGCTCTCCTGTCCTTTCTTGCCCGCTCTCACCTCCTCTCTCCCATTCTCCCCCCCCCCCCAGGATCGGCCGAGGCGGACGTTTCGGCCGCAAGGGCGTGGCCATCAACATGGTGACGGAAGAGGACAAGCGCACCCTTCGCGACATCGAGACTTTCTACAACAC